CTCTTACGACACCCACGGGAAAGGAAGGGGTGGCCTATTCTATGGCGGGACCACACGAACAATATGTCTATAATGACAATGTGTATATTAATTGTCAATTAATACATTTTAACCCGTAACAATGGAACAGTGACCTTTCTTCTGATATCGGTGTACGCTGGCAGGACACTAGTGACGGATGATAGCTGAGAATGAAGTCAGGTCACGCAAATGGTGACGAATTATCCAAAAATGAACCACGAAGCCACTAGACATTGTGACATCCAACTTAATATTACATGAAAGTTTTCAAAGATATTTGTATGTCTGTTACACAAATACGCTTAAACGGCTCAGTTGATTTGAATGAGATATATCGCACGAATAGGTTATAATCCTAACGTAACATATAGGACATTTTATTTACTGATGCACTCGAGCAAAACCGCGGGATACAGCTGGTTATAAATATTAGTAGTTACGGGGATACAAGAATAATGCGGATACTAAAAATCCCTTCGTCTTCTTAAAAAAATATATAGGTAACTGCTTACCTATATGTTTTTTTATGCAACTTAGAATGGCAAACAAGCTGATGGCCCACCTGATGGAAAGTGGTAACCGTCGCCTATAGACATGAACAGTACCATGGACATAACAGAGTATACTGTTTCGCCCATGATACGCCCCATGCGTTGCCATTCATGAGGACTCAGGTGTTATTCCTCTGTACCCTGTAATAATAATAATAATAATAAAATCCTATATGTCATATAAACAAACTCCCAATTCACAGCTGGTTTAAAATATTAGAAAAAAAAATAAAAACTAGGTCGAAGCGATACTCTCGATTTTCGATTTTACGTCGATCCGTCAGAGTGTTGATCGTTTGTGAAACTTCGTCCATCCCGTGATTTCCCCACGGATTGCCGTATTGTAATGAATCATGTTTTATTGATTCCTCGATGGAAATTCTTATATTATTACACGTTCGTTCCACATGTAGGTAATATACAATAGGTACAGGTTTTTTTTAATGAAATGGTAACCCCGCCTGCGCTATCGGTATACGCTGCCGGGGCACCAGTGATGGATGATAGTTGAGCAGATCAGTCGGCCCATCTTGAAGTATTCGACAAGAATTACCCATGATGATTTCTAGAGGGAGTCACGTGGAGGTCAAGGTGGGTATATTGCTAGCAATGGGGTTGATAGAACCCATTATTAACAAACCCTATCCCCCACAGAAGGTGCAAGTAGGGTATTCATTTTTATAACGAATCGATAATAAAATAGTAACTTATATATTTGCCACTTGGACTGCGGAGTTAAAAAAGGAGACACTTTATTCGATTGTATTTTATTTCTACTTTAAAAAAAAATTGTTAATTTTTTTTATTTATATATTAATGTACAATGTGCTCACTTCACTTACAGTTTCCCGTGTAAGTGAAGTGAGCACATTGAACCTATGGCTCACTACAGTTTACGTGTAGTGAGCCATAGGTTTATGTTATAAAATTAAAAAGTTTAAACAACATTTAGAAAATCTATCTAATTTGTAATTAAAAATGTCAATATCTGGCTGCTGAGCAATCAGAGAATTGAGCAGAGAAATAGCCTGATAAGTGGGAGCAAACTGAGCAGTACAGGCGAAACGGCGGTGCCCACTTCACTAGTAAAACTCCCTTAAAAATATGTTAAACGTTTCATTTTAATCTTGTAGATGTCGCTAGCGTCGTTAACGATATATTTACAATTAATTTAAGTTATACAACCGCTCAGCTCCTTCAATAGACGATTATTACGTTTACAGTGGGATTCGCCCGCTTTATTCGGCTCGTTCGTTACGAAAATCGATTTAAACCCAAGTTTAATTAAAATATTTCACATTAATGCATATTCATTTCTGTTTGAAGTTATCGTATTAGTAAACTATTGACTCGGAAACTTGATTTTGCATTTGAAATTACTTTTAACCGACGTCACGAAAGAAGGTTTGAGGAATAACACCTGAGTCCTCAGGAATGGCAACGCATGGGGGGTATCATGAGCGAAACAGTGTACTCTGTTATGTCCGTGGTACTGCTCATGTCTATAGGCGGCGGTTACCACTTTCCATCAGGTGGGCCGTCAGCTTGTTTGCCATTCTAAGTTGTATAAAAAAAAAAGTTCTGAAAATAGGCAAAGTATTGAATCAACTCCCAGCAGCAGTGTTTCCGTACAGATACGACATTGAAACATTCAAGGAAATAGCATATTTCTTCACAAAAAGGCCGGCAACATACTTGTAATTCTTCTAATGTTACGGGCACCTATAGGCGGCGGTAAACACTCACCATCAGCCAAGACAGATGCTCATTTGGCCCCTATGTTATAACAAACCACCTGTTTTACCAGAGGGCGACTTTGTGCAAAAGTCGATTGCTTGGGTACCTCTGTCCCATTCGTGTTTCAACCGTGAAGCAGTTGTGTTTGCATGGCTGTGTTTCGGTTTGAAGGGTAGGTGGTGAATGTACAGGGTACAGAGGAATAACATCTGATCCTAAAGAATGGCAACGCATGGGGGTGTCATGGGCGAAACAGTATACTCTGTTATGTCCATGGCACTGCTCATGTCTATAGGTGACGGTTACTTTCCATCAAGTGGACCGTCAGCTTGTTTGCCATTCTAAGCCGCTTAAAAAAAAAGAACAAAATCTACAGTTATTAATAAGTGTGCATGAGATATTTAAAAAAAAAATACTAACACATGCATGTCATGATATATTTTCACCAATTATATTTTAGAGATTTCTAGAACGCCTCCTCCTTCCTACTTTTCTGTTTCGATATATTTTTATATCTGTGTTACGCAATTACGTCGATAATTTTAAATCAATTTCCAGTCTATTTTTCTTTGCTAAGCAAAAGACTGCCATTTGCGAAGCAAAATCTTATAGGTAGACAACATTGCGTTCTAAATACAAATATTTTCAATATAAACTATATTGTTGTTAATTATTTTTTTTTTTATTACGATTGAAGTAATTTTTTTGGGAAAAGAAAACACATACTTATTTAAAAAATATTAAAATTGCCTTCCACAAAAAAAAATCTACTTCAATTGGGAAAAAATCAGTTATTTTAATTTAAAACCTAAACTACGTCGTAGATTTTAATAGAATTTATATAAGGCCTATATAAATACTTCCTTTTAGATAAAAAAGTAAATTTCCAATTCGCTTTATAACTGACGGAGTTATGAAGTGACAAACTAAAAAAAATACAAACGAATTAGGAACCTAATTTGTTTTTTTTCCATTGAGAATAAGTTTCAATTCGTTTCTAACTTACCTAGTGAAAAAAGGCTCTTAATGCGTCCGAAATAAAGTTTAATATCATTATTATATTTCGGAAAATCTAACAATTTATTAAAATCGTGATTATTCAAAAGGAAATATTGCTCAAACCGATGTACGTAATAAGAAATTATTAAAGTTACCATCTCCTCAACGGTTACACTTTATTTAGAAATTATTCCAATATGAGATTATATAAAGTACTTGTCTGACTAACAAAAAGAGGCGACTTCACCTTTTAACAACATACAAATAAAAAACAAAAAAGTTAGAACAAAAACACAAAATCTTTTAAGATTTTTTGTTCATTTTCATTCCGTGGTAGACAAAAGTAAAAATTATAATTTTTTTAATTAATTACAATACGCTAACTAACCTGCTTCATCGTCATCTATCATCCCTCACTGGTACTCCGCCAGCCTATACCGATAGCACCGGCAGGATTACGACTCCATTATTATCTATTAAAAAAATACTTATATCGTAACGATAAAATCGCAAAATCTAAAAAAAAACTAAAATTGAAACTAGTCGCCAAAGTTAATTTTCGCGTCAAACAACTTTTCTAACGCTTTTTTAAATCAAATCTCCTAAAACAAATCTTCTCTAAAACCAATTTGCTCATTCTGTGTCGATTTCTCAAATTCAGTAATAATGTCTATAGTTTTTCTTTTTTTATATTCTCATTGTTATAGTAAAATCCGTATTATTACGAGAAAACGTCAGTCGCTTCATTTACACCGGTGAGAACAATTCCCCGACGATATTGTGACAACATCGCTTATTGTCTCCGGGGAGACAGATCTCAAAAGGCCTTTTAGAGCTAGGAGTGGAGACGTATCCGTTTCCACATCGCTTGTGCGATATCAGTATTCGGAATTCTGTTAGTGTAATTCTTAAGTTATTATGTTAGATATAGCCTTGTAACATTATAGAATAAAGATCGAGGTTCAATTTCCAAATTGGAATTATTATTTACAACTGTTTCTATTTTTAATGACAAATTATTTTTGTAGCGATTAATTTTTTTTTTTTTCGTTAAGACATTTCGCAGCCGGCTAGTGGCCACAATAGAATATGTCGTGACCATTTTGTGTAACTGTGGCACATGCATGAAAGGAAAAATTATTCTTTTATATATTTTCTTCTTTTTTTATATATTTATTTATTTATTTTATTTGTTTATTCATTAGTACATATATGTGTACATGGTGGACTGCTAAAAGCATTCTCTCCCAGTCAACCATAGGGATGTGTGTGTTCTTTTATTCCTTTATTTGCGTACGTATCTATATCTATTCTTATTTGTGTGCTGTAAGTAATACAAATAAATTATCTATCTATCCATCTATATATTTATTATTCCGAATATATATTTAAATATATTTATTCTAAATATATATTTTTTATTATGAAACAAAAAATGTTTCGTGTCAAGCAGATCCTTGTAGATGCATTATTCTGCTTCCGTTCTCAAGTATGACGTATGAGAAAGAAAGATTTATTTAATGCTCAGCAATAAAATAAAATAAACAAAAAGAAAACCATAAAATGGTGTCACTTAGCTATACGCCATGTCCGAAAGGACTGATTTTCAGTAAAGAAAACTAGCTAGGCAACATTGTATTTATTTTAATAAAATAGATATGTTTACTGAATTTAAATTGTTATTGCCCACAGAACGACTCTGACGACGAGCAGTGTGCGCTGAGCGACAAGTGGCAGTACGAGAGGAAGTCGCGGCGGTGGTCGCGAGTCGTCGAGATCACGCCGCAAGCGCAGCGCCGGCTACAGGCATGTGCTCCTACATATAATATTTTTATATTATATTTGTTTTGTTTTGATTTCTTTTGTTCTTGTTTTGTGCGCTACTGTGTGGGCCGTAAGCTTCATTGATTAAATTATTTCTTTCTCTTTCTTATATTACTAGCGGCCCGTCCCGGCTTCGCACGGGTGGACATTTCTACAACATTTTAAAAAGTGGTTATTGTGACATAACTATAATAGTTGGTCATATAGTACCGCGAAGTTTTTTGTAGTTATTGATATTTTCTTCAATATTGTAGAACATACTTTTATTCTATCACCAATAGTTTCCGCAGCGCACGCGACGAAAGATATTTTATAGCATTTTTTACACCTTGAGTTACGTTACTAAAGTTTTAGTAAGGATCCCTAATCTTTTCTAGCAATAAATATAGCCTATGTTACTCAACGTGAATGCAGCTTTGTAATGGTGAATGAATTTTTGAAATCGGCAAAGTAGTTATTGAGTTCATTCATTAGAAACATACATACACACAAAAATACAAATCTTTCCTCTTTATAATATTAGTGTAGATAAATATTAAATATAAACCACGTAACCGGAGGTTTTAAATGTATAATGCATTCATATCAGCCGTTAAATTTACGATACTGAATACAGACCTCCCCCATTAGGAGGGTGTTGCTAATAGTTACTACGCTTTGCAAGAAGTTTGGCAAATTCAGTTATGCTAGTTAAGTTAAAATTTAAAAAAGCTTAAAAATAACTCTATTGGAGTAAATATGAGTTGAATTTATATTATATACTGCTCATTTCTATAGGCGACGGTTAGCACTTTCCATCAGGTGGGCCGTCAGCTTGTTTGCCATTCTAAGTTGTATATAAAAAAAAAATTAACACAATAGTAAACTAATGTAGCTCTAGTTCAATATTAATTAAAATTGTCCACACACATATACCTATCTACCTCTATACAGAAATATGTCGACAATCCGCAGTCCATTACGCGTACCGTGTGTATTGTGCAAAGAGAGCATTTGTGATTAAAATACCTTCACAGAATATTCCACATTTCTCGCACAGTCTAAACAGAATCGGACAGAATGGGAATGAAGGGTGGGATGTGGTGTGTATATGTGTAATAGGTGGTAGAGCCACGCTGTAATACCATATGGTATTGCAGCATGAATGGGCCGGCTCGACCGGGGAAGTACCACACCCTCACAGAATACCGACGCTAAGTGGCCGCACTTTTAGTGCGACCACATTCCGTATGGTGAGTGAGGGAGTCCGGAGGCCCATCCTATACCCATCCCCTTCCTTATCCTAAAATCCTCCCCCAACTCCGTCCCCCCATCTTTCAATACCATGGCAGTGGAATTTAAAAAAAATAACGTACCCCAGGGAGGTACCAGCAGCCATGTTGCTGGAAAATCCTCCCTCGAGCAACCACGCTCGGGCTGCCCTGCGTATTCTGGGGGGGGCAAAATTCCGCTCTATGGGACCAAGGGCAAACAGAGCAAGACTTCTGCGGCATCCCCTTTGCTCAATGTGAGCCTCTGTAATATTAGGGGAATTCATTCAAACCTGAACGCTGTCCACCACCACCTAGAAACGGCGCGGCCGGCATTGCTCTTCCTCACGGAGACACAGATATCCCCTCCTAACGAAACATCATACCTGACCTACCCGGGGTATAAGCTTGAACATTGTTTTGTTTCGCGTGCCGGTGTATGTGCGTATGTCAGAGAGGATATCTGTTGTAGACGCCTTGGGACTCTTGAAGGTACGGACCTGTCCATTCTATGGCTGCGCGTAGATTGCAATGACCATCCCCGCATCTATGCGTGCCTATACAGGTCCCACAGCGGTAACACTGAAACCGACCAACTTATTGAGCACGTCCAAATGGCTACAGATTCCCTGCTTGAGCAGATTCCTTCCGCTGAAGTCGTGATTGTTGGCGACTTTAATGCCCACCATGCCGAATGGCTTGGTTCGCGTACAACCGACTATGCGGGAAGATCTGTTCATGACTTTGCTTTGGCTTATGGTCTGACACAGCTTGTTTCCTCGCCTACGCGAATCCCTGATGTGTTGGACCATTCACCTTCACTGCTGGACCTTCTGCTGACCACCCACCCAGACAACTATGTGATCTCCGTCGAAGCCCCGCTTGGATCGTCGGATCACTGTTTGGTGCGGAGCGAAGTGCCTCTTACGAGTCCGACTCCAACTCGTTCTACGGGTAGACGTCGCATTTGGCACTACAGGTCGGCAGATTGGGATGAGATGCGGATTTTTTTCGCATCTTACCCATGGAGGCAGGTTTGCTTCACACTGGATGATCCCGACGCCATTGCCGATTCCATTGCTGATGTGGTGCTTCAGGGAATGGAATTATTTATTCCTAACTCTGTGGTGCCCGTCGGCGGGAAATCCCAGCCCTGGTATGGAGCCTCCTGTAGAACAGCATCTCGTCTGAAACAGGAGTGCTTCCTAACCTGGGCTAAAGGTGTGGCGTCGCGAGATCCTAACACCAGTGCTCTTAAAAAGAAGTATAACTCTGCCTCTAGGTCCTTCAAAAGAGTTATAGCCACAGCGAAGTCAGAGCATATTAGTAGAATTGGCAAGAGATTGGCTAGTTTGCCCTCTGGGACTCGAGCTTTCTGGTCTCTTGCCAAAGCTGCACAAGGGAATTTCTGTAAGTCATCTTTTCCACCTTTGCGCAGGGAGGATGACTCGTTGGCCCAGAACGCTAAAGAAAAGGCCGATCTTCTTGGATCCATCTTTGCGTCAAACTCGACATTGGATGACGGGGAGAAACCACCACCGACCATCACGTGTAGTAGGAGCTCTATGCCTGACATTAAATTCACGCATAGCTCAGTGCGTAGAGCACTTTTCTCCCTCGAAATCCATAAGTCGAGTGGGCCTGATGGTATTCCTCCAATTGTGCTTAGGACGTGCGCACCAGAGTTGGCTCCGGTTCTTACGCGTCTTTTTCGGCTTAGCTACTCATCGGGCATAGTCCCAAAGTTTTGGAAGACTGCTCTGGTGCATCCGATCCCAAAAAAGGGAGATCGCTCAGATCCAGATAACTATAGGCCCATAGCTATCACTTCGTTATTCTCGAAGGTTATGGAATCCATCATTAACCGTCAACTGCTCCGGTACCTAGAAGAGCACCGGCTGATCTGTGATCGCCAGTACGGCTTTCGACAGGGACGTTCGGCCGGTGATCTTTTAGCTTACTTAACACACCGATGGGCAGTGGCAATCGAGAATAAGGGAGAGGCCTTAGCAGTTAGTCTGGATATTGCGAAGGCCTTTGATCGGGTGTGGCATAGAGCGCTGCTTTCAAAGCTACCTTCATTTGGGTTGCCTGCGAGACTGTGCATTTGGGTCGCCAGTTTTCTCAAGGAACGTAGCATTAAGGTCGTAGTCGACGGTGCATGCTCTGATTTAAAACCTTTGAATGCTGGTGTCCCGCAAGGCTGTGTACTATCTCCGACTCTGTTTCTTCTGCATATCAATGATATGTTACAGATAAGTAATATTCATTGCTATGCGGACGACAGTACAGGAGATACATTATATACCGGTCATGCAAAGATCTCGCGGGCACATACCGATGAGTGCCGGAATAGACTTGTGTCTGAAATCGAAACTTCACTCCATCAAGTTTCGATCTGGGGTGAACAAAATCTTGTCCAATTTAACCCCAAAAAGACACAAGTCTGCGCGTTTACCGCAAAAAAGACGCCGTTTGTCGTATCTCCTCACTTTCAGGGCACTTCCCTTGATAAAAAGTCAAGTCTAGGAATTCTGGGCGTTGATATATCTTGCGACGTCCAGTTTTGCGGTCATCTGGAGGAGAAGGCTAAGATAGCTTCCAAAAAGTTAGGAGTGCTCAATAGGGTGAGACGATATTCCATGCCAGAACACCGCCTGAATTTATATAAAGCCCAAGTCAGGCCGCATATGGAATACTGTTCTCACCCGTGGGCAGGAGCGCCACAGTACCAACTCCTTCCGTTAGACCGCATTCAAAGTCGGGCGGCTCGAATTATCGATAGTCAACGCCTTACTGTCCGACTTGACCCATTGAAACTGCGCAGAGATGTTGCATCTCTGTGCATCTTCTACCGAATTTATCATGGGGAGTGTTCTGAGGAATTGTTCGGATTGATACCTGCTGCTGATTTTCACCACCGTACAACCCGCCACAAACTAAAGTTTCATCCCAATCATCTGGACGAGTGGCGGTCTTCCACCGTGCGTTTTTCAAGGCACTTTCTTCCACGCACAACCAATCTTTGGAATCAACTTCCAGCAGCAGTATTTCCGAACCGATACGACAACATAACCTTCAAGAAAAGAGTATATTCCTTTTTAAAAGGCCGGCAGCACACCTGCAATGCCTCTGGTGTTGTGGGTGATCATGGGCGGCGGTAGTCACTTACCATCAGGTGAGCCGCATGCTCGTTTGCCCCCTGTGTTGTAAAAAAAAAAAAAAAAAAAAATTTACAGGGTACAAAGGAATAACACCTGAGTCCTCAGGAATGGCAACGCATGGGGGGTATCATAGGCGAAACAGTATACTCTGTTATGTCCATGGTATTGTTCATGTCTATAGGCGACGGTTACCACTTTCCATCAGGTGGGCCGTCAGCTTGTTTGCCATTCTAAGTACTATAAAAAATTATAAATATTATCCATACTCGTGTCTAAATAAAATAAATAATTCAATTGTGGTAAAACAAGTTATTTTGATTTAAAAACTACTAGACCAATTAATTACCAATTTGTAAGTATACTTTTTCAGACAAAAAAGAGTTTTCCAATTCGGTTTACAATTGATGGCGTTATTGCAAGCAATATACCCAACCAGGTCGACCTTCTCGCGGTTCTCCCTGGAAACTATCATAATTAATTCCTGATAAATTCATCATGATGGGCTAACCGGCCTGTTTTCATTCTCATCTATCACCCTTCACTGGTACTCCGCCAGCGTATCCCGTTAGCGCAGGCGGGGTTACCATATCATTTTCACCCATCAAAAAAAAATTGATGGCGTTATAAGGTACCAAAACAAAACGTAAAAAAATACATCCGAGATTTTTCCTCCCTCTCACCTCTTTTTGAAGTGGGTTGATAATAAATTAAGATCCCACCACTAATCTCTGCAAGTACATTTTTGTTCATTTCTATTTAATTAAAACTTGGTTTTAATTAATGATGAGCTAAAATAGAATACAATGCACCCAGATTGTCTGCTTTCAACTAGCACTTTAGTGTTCTGTGAATACGAAGCATTTTGCTGTAACTGAAATTCATGTTTGCAAGTTCACAACATATATAAAAGCTTTTTCGTTGAACAAATATCCTTGTTTATATACGTATACTTAAATTTAGAGCAAAACACGATAACGCACGCCTTACTTCTTGCAAGACAAGTCAAACAAATGTTATAAACGTTACAGCTGCTTACATTTGTTTATTATATTAGCATGGTGAAATAGCTACCCTCCTATATATAAAAAATACACAAGGAAACACCACCAACCCTTTTCTTGTCCCGCGTTAAAGAGGAAAGAGGCGGCGAATCTTTATTTTTAAGAACCAAAAAAGGGTTAAATTTTATTTTCCTGTATTTTTTTTATACAACTTGAAATGCCAAAGTCGATTGCTTGGGTACCTTAGTCCCATTCGTGTTTCTACCGTGAAGCAGTTGTGTTTGCATATTGTGTTTCGGTTTGAAGGGTGGGATATGGCGTGAATTTACAGGGTACAAAGGTATAACATCTGAGTTCTAAGGAATGGCAACTCATGGGGGGTATCGTGTGCGTAACAGTATACTCTGTTATGTCCATGGTACTGCTCATGTCTATAGGCGACGGTTATCACTTTCCATCAGGTAGGCCGTCAGCTTGTTTGCCATTCTAAGTTGTATAAAAAAAATATCAACGGCTGATAAGGTACTACGATTACAATGACTGTTTATCTAATATCAATCAATTCTTTGTTACAGTTAATAGCAGCGAAAGCTTTAGCGGAAAAAGAGGCACGAGAAGCAAGAGGGGAAGTAGAAGATGACGAGGACGACAGCCTGCCCACCATCAGGGTGGGGCTGGTTGACGCGGACGGTCATTACACTGATGTTGAGCCAGACCTGTAAGTATTTGTTTTTATACCACGAAGGTAAACTAATATACAGCCAATATAGGGGTACCACATGCACGTTTGTAGACCTTGAAGAGGAGGGAAAGGATTGTTAGTAATGCGGGCTACCAGTGCCATTGCTAGCAATATACTCTGTCAGGTTGACGTCCACGCGGTTCCCCTGGAAACCATAGTGCTGAACACCAGGCGTAATCATCGCGATAGGCTGACTGACCTGCTTTTTTTTTTTATTATACACCTATCATCCCTCCCTGGTGCCCCGCCAGCGTATACCATTAGCGCGGGCAGGGTTACCACTCCATTATCATCCATTAAAAAAAAGATCCTGAAGAAATATTAATACATTTAAAAAATATATATATATGAGAGATCTTAATAAGAGCTACTATTTATCGAGCAAGAATGAATGGGGATGTCGGTAGAGGCCGCCCTAGACGGACGTATGTCGACCAAATAGGCGACGTGCTGAAGAAGGGCCGAATTAATAGTACCCGTAACCGGCGAGCGTGTATGAAAAGATTGATGAATGTGGAAGAAGCGAAAGAGGTTTGTTTGAATCGAAGCATTTGGCGTTCCATTGTTTCTGCCTACCCTAATGGGAGACAGGCGTGACAGATATGTATGTATATATGTAATAAAAACTACCTATAGAAACCAAAACTATAATTTTTAGAAATTTTCTCTGTCTGCTAGTCTGTATGTATGTTCGTTTATTGTTTATTTAATAGATTTTTCTACTTCTGAAATCCACACATACTGAGTAACGAGCAAAAAGCTAGTCGAAATATTTAAAAGCAATAATAATTTTAAAGACACCTACCTTATATATTACATTGATAAAAAAAAAATGGCATGCATGTTTTCCATCGTTTTCCATTTTACACTTTACACAATTAAACGGTGAAATCTCTAAACATCCCTCTGTAGACACGTTCCGACCACTTCACAAAGGAACCGGGCCGGAATACAAAGAGGCCGCATCAAGAGCACTGAGCCTGATGACTCTCAGCAGAGTAAAGCTTTGAGAACGTTTTGTCTCAGTCAAAGGGCACAGTTTGATTGTGAGAAATGTATGTCCAAATACCGACCTAAACCTAGCTGTATTATTTTTTATACTATTACTTCAGCTATTAACTGTCCACTGCTGGACATAAGCCTTCCCTATAAGGGGAGTTTTGCCAGTAGTTGCCACGCTTGGCAAGCGGGTTGGTAACCGCAGTTAAGGTTATAGAAATGTTTTAAAAGGGATGCTGTCCATCCCTCGCCCTGTCTCAGTCGACTCTTACGACACCCACGAGAAAGGAAGGGGTGGCCTATTCAGCATCGTATCCTTTTATAGCATCGTTGTGGCAAGCGTAACACGAGACATGCCCATATCTACTAAACTACCGCTGTCACTTAGATTGACTTGGTTTGTTAACGGTGTTTCCATCATTTGAAAAAAGTAATCGACAGTTTAAGTTAATGCTACGTTTTTTTCAAACTCATTCGAACTGATGAATTTTGCATTGTATAAAGTTACTCGGGATTTTTTTTAATGGGTGATAATGGAATGGTAACCCCACCCGCGCTATCGGTATACACCGGCGGGGCACCAGTGAAGGATGATAGGTGAGGATGAAGCAGGTCAATTAGCCGAACGAATTCAACAAGAATTATTCAGGATGGCTTCCAGGGGGAACCACGTGATGATCGACCTAATAGGACATATTGCTAGCAATGGGGCTGTCAAACTCCATTGCTAACAATCCCTTTCCCCCATGTTACTCAGGATTTTTGATGGGTAAAAATGAAATGGTAACCCCGACTACGCTAACGGGATACCCTGGCGGAGCACCAGTGAAGGGTGATAGATGAGAATGAAAACAGGCCAGTTAGCCCATCATGATGAATTCATCAGGAATTAACCATGATAGTTTCCAGGGGGAACCGCGAGGAGGTCGACCTGGTTGGGTATATTGCTAGCAATGGGATTCTCAGTCTCTATTACTAACAATCCCTTTTCCTCCAAGTTACTCAGGATTATCTCCCTGTAATATATGATAGGCCCCTTAAGCAGTTTACAAAGTTTAATTCGCTTTACATTGTTTGTATGATACATGTAGATTAGATACATAACACTGCCGCCGTGCCTGCCGCTAACCTTGGATTTCAGATTATCCAAGCGGTATTGTCCTTGTAATCGACCAAGTGGCATTAGTACTAATACCTAAATAAATAAGCCATCCATTTGCAAATTAAGAGAAGAGCTTATATATTACTTGAATGACAAATGGCCATGGTGTTAGTCGATCATGTATGGGCTTTTTAATGACCATGTGATTTTAGACATAGTGCATTTAAAAAAATACACATAATGTTAACAGAGATTTAAAAGAGTAACTGTTGATTGTTGTTTCTTGCGAGCTCTTCTCAGCAGATAACAACCTTCAGAACCCTGCAGTATGATTAAAAAAAAGTTACGATTTAAAAGTGCTTGTAAACAAGTCTATTTTTTTTGATGGAGTAAAAATGGTATGGTAACAGTAACTCCGCCTGCGCTAATGGGATACGCTGGCGGACCACCAGTGAAGAGTGATAAATGAGAATGAAAACTGGCCAGTTAGCCCATCATGATAAATTCATCAGGAATTAACCATGATAGTTTCCAGGGGGAACCGCGAGGAGGTCGACCTGGTTGGGTATATTGCTAGCAATGGGATTCTCAGTCTCCATTGCTAACAATCCCTTTCCCCCCAAACGAGTCTATTAGAATAAAGTTGATTTGAATTTATGTAAACTACATACATTTTTACAAATTCATGCTAACGTAGAAAATACGGCCAGGATAATACAGACAAATGTACTCATGAATACCAATATTTGTATCAGTGGATTGAACCCACAACCATCGGAAAACAAGGCAGTTAGTTAAACAGCTACACCATCGAGGTCGACAAAATTAATTTATTTCAATATAAAAATAACCAGATTGACTTGCATGTATTTTAGTCGAAAAAGCTTGACTAGTTTCAGGACCATACAGGACCCTTAGTCGTGAGCGGCCATGAAAATTAGTTGAGCTTTCCCGATTTACTGGTTATTCTTACGTTATTATATAGATGTGTAGATGTACTTAAGATTCTTTTAACAACAAAATTAATATGGATTATTTAAAAGGATATACATCTGTGCATCTTCTACCGAATTTATCATGGGGAGTGTTCTGAGGAATTGTTCGGATTGATACCTGCTGCTGATTTTCACCACCGTACAACCCGCCACAAACTAAAGTTTCATCCTAATCATCTGGACGAGTGGCGGTCTTCCACCGTGCGTTTTTCAAGGCACTTTCTCCCACGCACAACCATTCTTTGGAATCAACTTCCAGCAGCAGTATTTCCGAACCGATACAACAACATTACCTTCAAGAAAAGAGTATATTCCTTTTTAAAAGGCCGGCAGCACACCTGCAATGCCGCTGGTGTTGTGGGTGATCATGGGCGGCGGTAGTCACTTACCATCAGGTGAGCCGCATGCTCGTTTGCCCCCTGTGTTGTAAAAAAAAAAAAACAGCAGAATTATATTTATTAAGCGACTTTTAATAGTATATATATTTTATATAATAAAAAGATCCATTAGGTATCACGAAAATTGCCAGTTGCTTGCAATATCTCATTTTGCTAAGTACTTCGATCATAAACCCATTCAACTGAAATGAAACGATTTCAATTGGTCTATTCTCATTTGAAATCACTTTAGAAATAACGATATCATCTCTAATAGCCACCGTCTTAACAATCGTTCGAATTAAAATACCAAAAGCCCTATCAATCAATGTTGTAACAAAGAAATTAATAATCGACTCCCACAATCCACTAATCACGATGCTGACATGTTAATGACTAACTGTACTGAGGCACGTTCACACTGAACGGTCATTACGACAACGCGATATTTTAATTGCTCACCTGTATAGTGATATGCAGAATTCTCTTCAAATTATTAGTCTACTAGCGTTCTACTCCGGCTTTTCATGCGTAGATAGATAAAAGATTAAGTTAGGTAGGTACAATTAGTATTTTATATTATCTTTAATAGGCACATTTTAGATATTTTAGGTTACATTATTGTAATTTTAGTTTATAATTGTAGGTTTTATTTCTTTTTTTTTTTTAATAATATACAGTTGATGTTATTTATTGATAATTTTCTAATTGTAAGATTTTTTAAATCGCATGAATAATTTTTGAGTTAATCCATTACAAATGAACAAACATACAATATATCAAGTCTTTCCTCCTTATAACATAACTATAAATAATACCCGACCGTTGTATGTTAATTAATATCAGTACCTATGTACCAGATATTTACCAGAGGGAGACTTTGTACAAAATTCGATTGCTTGGGTACCTCTGTCCCATTCGTGTTTCTATCGTGAAGCAGTTGTATTTGCATGGCTGTGTTTCGGTTTGAAGGGTGTGATATGGCGTGAATTTACAGGGTACAGAGGAATAACATCTGAGTCCTCAGGAATGGCAACGCATGGGGGGTATCATGGGCAAAACAGTATACTCTGTTATGTCCATGGTACTGCTCATGTCTATAGGCGACGGTTACCACTTTCCATCAGGTGGGGCATCAGCTTGTTTGCCATTCTAAGTCGTATAAAAAAAAATATCAGTATCAAACAAATATTAAAGATAAAAAAATTTAAATTCAGTATCTCGAGTCAAAATTCAAATATTATAACAATAAGGCATAATTTTGTTTGAAATTTATTTAAACAGCAGGTTATGTGCAGAGCATATAAGAACAAATACGTGTATGACGCTAAGTAAATGCACTTAAAAATACTTTTGCTGCCTCTTTGAAAATAGTTGAAAGTTAAAAAAAGAAATGTTTGAATCCATCATCACAATGTTGTTATAAGCATCCACTAAGAAAGGATTTGCCGAAATCCCCCCGAGAATAGAAAGCAACAGGTTCCAATTAAGACGGAACAGTTA